CGAGAAGCGGCACTGCAGGGTGTGTACGCATTCTAGGTTACGTCCTGACAGTAAGGCATCCTCGAGGGTCGCCCAGCATCCAGCGAAGCAGTCAGTAGCTTGTTACATGAATTGTGTCACGTTCTCCCAAGTGACATGGGACTCCCTGGAAAACTTGTACCAACTCTGGCTTTAGGGCCCAGGAGGAGAGACTGAGGGCAGCGCACGTCCTGCAGAGGCGCCCTTACCGAAATCATGTTGCCGATGATGCAGCTGTACAACTTGATGATCTCGTCCTTCTCCAGCTTCTCGTCGGCCATGTGCGTGTTGTAGCTGAGTCTCAGCTGCATGAAGGTGGCTATGAGAAACTGATCAATGTGGCCAGACATAGCTTCGGCTTTGTCTTCCTGTCGCAGGACCTCGTCGATCTGGTAACAGAAATGCCAAGATAGATTTTCTAAGCCTCAAACTTCTCAGTTAACAGGAAAACATTATAAAGGACTTCTCTGTAAGGATATTTACTGGCAATTTACTTGCAGTATCTTACCTTGGGGAAGAAAAACACACGTCTAGTGCCTTAGCCATTACGCCACCTGCTGGCTCCTTCTTTATAATTTATTAAAAAGCATGCCTTGGTACCAGCAGTTAGCGTAATGGCTATGTCTCTGGACTCCCACATAGTCGACCGCGGTTTGTGTCCTGGACCCGCTGGCTTAAAGCTCACGCCAGGCGCGTGTGCGTGCGTGCCCAAGATCCTGAGAGGAGAATGGAGGAGAAGAGATTGTGGCGTGGCCATCTCCCCTAGGGGGTGATTTCTTGTTTTCTGTCTGTCTTTCTGGCAAGCGCACACGTCTTGTAGCAAAAACCTCTTAAAAATAAAAAAGCATGCCTTTTAGGCTTCGTCTGTAGAGCTGACGTGAAGATCGTCCTCTACCAACTGAGAAAAGTGAGGCTCAAAAAGATCAAACTCAGGCTTTCCACACCTTGGGTCAGTGTGCTTTCAGTTTAGTACATTGGTTGCCACTAAGGGGAAAAACATGTATCTCCTATGTACTAGTGTCAAAATTCTTCATTTTTGTGATTATATAAAAATAATAACCTGAGACAACTATGATCAACGTTTGATGCCCTCTCCTTGAGCTGGGCTGCCTCACTGCATGACTCCACGGGGCACCACTGAACTGAGCTACATGACAACGTGAAGAGAGTCCCCTGGTGGTGAAGGCACCACTTGAGTATACTCTCTTTCTTTTTTTTTAAATTAAATTAAATTTTATTTATTCATTCATTTATTTTAATTTGACCAGAGAGAGAGAAAGTGTGAAAGCAAGCCGCCAGATCCAGGACTTGAACCATGGTCAGCCATGTGGGAGTGTCCAGCGCCTTAACCACCATGCCACCTGCTGATCCCGAATATACTCTTTCATATTCACTGAGTCCTATACAACACATGTGCACGCTCACATAGGGTCAAACTTCGGGGCACTGTGCACCCTGCAAGAGGATTGCACTGGGTCGTTGGGGAAGTCATGACACATTTTTGCCTAGAAAAACATAGAAAAATATGTCATAGCTTACCCAATGACCTATTAGTATGTGTGTGTCTATACATACATTCATACATCTGTATGTATATATTGATAAAGAGGTTTTTGCTATAGTTAAGCCACTGGGTCTGAGACTTGAACCGTAGTTGACTACATGGGAGTCCAGTGACATAGCCATTATGCCACGTGCTGGTCCCTCTAATTTTTTAATTTAACTTTATTTATTTATTTTTTAATTTGACCGAAGAGAGACAAAGAGAGAGAGAGAGAGAGAGAGGGAGGAAGCGAGAAAGCAAGCCACCAGGTTCAGGACTTGAACCCCATTCGGCCATGTGGGGAGTCCAGTGCCCTTAACTACCACGCTGCCTGCTGGCCCCTAATTCTATTTCTGAGAGAGGATTTTTGCTATAGGGCATGTGTGCTCACCGGAGAGACAGAGAGACAGAAAGCAAGAAATCAACCCTTGGGGGAATGGTCAGGCTGCAATCTCGCCTCCTCCAATCTCCTCTTCGGATTGTGGGCACACACACACACATACCCAGTGTGAATTTTAAGCTGCAGGGTTTGGGACTCAAACCACGGGTGACTATGTGGGAGTCCAGCGACATAACCATTATGTCACCTGCTGGTCCCTATATACTTCTATTTATGTAGCTAACTCGGCAGTAAATTTTGAAAACCCCCTACTGCCAACAGGAGTAACGATTTCTTTTTCAGTTATTAGCAGTAGGCACATGTGCTCACAGAGGCAGAGGTGGCGGTGAGGGGAGGAGAGTGGGGAAGGAGAGCAAGAGTGAGCAGGCGTCTCTCTCCACGCAGCGTGGTCGTGGTGCGATTCGGTGTCCTACATGTCTCCGTCCTTTTGGGTCTTTGAGCAGGCAAATAAGCATCTGTTGTGTTTTTCAAGCTGCTGGTGTTCGAACTGCGGTCAGTCATGTAAATCTGGACTCCCTGAATGACTAGATTAGGGGGTTGGCCCTAGTTTATTCTTTTCTTTTTAAAATTATTTAATTTTATTTATTATTATTATTTTTTTCATTTGACCAGAGAGAGAAAGAGAGGGAAAATGAGAAAGCAAGCCACCAGGTCCAGGATTTAAACCTTGGTCAGCCATGTGGGAGCCCAGCACCTTAACCACCAAGTCACCTGTCAGCACATTTCTAATATCCTTTTTATGGACGATTAACTTTCATATGGTTGCAAAGTACAAATCCTGTAAATACACAGCTTAATGAAGTTCTGCCAGCGTTCATATCCATGGACTCACTGCTGAAAACAAGCTACGGGATATTGTAAACACCCAGGCTTCTCCCTGCCCCTCTAGGCACCCCCTGCCAGGGCTTACTACTAACTATTTCTTCTTTCTCCCTACTATTCTGACCTCTAAACTGATAAAAACTATTCAGCTTCTCCTATGTCCTTACTATACTTTTCATTTATTAGATCTGTCCAGTTCTCTCAATAACTTGTTTTTTCACTTTTTTTTTTTGCCATAGGATAAGTGCACTTGCCAGAGACAGAGAGAGAGGAAAAGTGAGAAATCCCCTCTGGGGGGATGCCCACGCTGCAATGCCTTGTCCTCCATTCTCCTCTTGAGATTTGGGGCACGCATGTACAAGCGCCTAGTGTGACAGCCAGGTCTCTCAGCCCTGTGGGAGTCCAGCGCCGTAACTACTATGCCACCTACTGGTCATTCCTTTTCACTCTCTTAATATTGTCCCCCTGCACCTCAATCCAAAAAACCATAATCTACCCAGTTGCTTAGGCCAAAAATTAAGGAGTTATTCTTGATTTCTTACTTCCCTCACCATCCCATGGGGGATTTTTGGTATGTGCCCAGAGTGGTTTTCAAACTGCAGGAGCTGGGATTTGAGCCACATAGTCCCACGTGGGATCTGGGTGCCTTAACCACCAGGCCACGGAGTGGGCCCATCTTTCCTTACATTTCATATCCTGTGGACTACGGTATCCTATCCGTGCCCTCTTCTTCCTTTCCATCACTGTCCTCCTAGTGGCACGTATTACCTTTACTACGAATTTTGGCCACAGCTTCCTAACGGGTCTCCCGCAATCCATTCTTGCCTTGCCTATAATCCAGGCTCTAGGGAGTGGCAGGGTAACTCCACCCATTACTCCTAAATGTGCAAACAGGAAAGTGTAAATACAGTAAAGGCACATTTTATCCTGAATCATTTGGGAATAAGTTGTCAATCTGCTATCCCATGGTCCCTTGATACTTCCGTGTGTGTGTCTGTGTGTGTGTGTATGTGTATACATACATATATACGTATATATATATATATATAGGTACATGCCCACTTTTTTTTTTAACATGGTACCTAGAACCCTTTACTGAATGAGCGAGTGCTCACAGTTACACAAATTCCAGCTCATATTCTGGCATAGTATAAAGGAGATAAGTCAGCAACTAGGAAAATTTTCTCTGTGGCTTCTTAAGCCAGAATAGTGTATATTTCTTAATAACAAGGACATTCTCCTTAATAATCAATCACACAATGACCAATCAAAACCAAGAAATGAACACTGATGTGAGCAGACGCTATTCCATTTTCTCCTGATTATTTCCTCTATGGCAAAGGCTGGTCTAGAATTACGCACCGCACTTAGCTGCCAAGTCTCTTCATCTCTCCTCACCCTAGAACAGCGCTTTCATTTTTTCCTGACCTTGACACTTCATGAAATGTCCTTTACTCTGCATTTGCCCGGTGCTTCTTCAGGATAAGATTCAGACGGTGCAACATCAGGAATGTCGGCAGGAGGTGAACTCTCACTGAATCCTGCTGGTGGCACATGACTTAATTCTGTCCCATTATTGACGATGGTCACTTTGATCAAAATAGATTGACGTGGTACCTGCTAGGTTTCTCTGTCAAATTACTCCTCATAATTTACATTTTTTATACATTTTATATATTTGTCCTTTGTGGGAATGTACCATGAAACTATGTAAATATCCCATTTCTCCTCAAATTGTAATTAATTAATGTATGGATTTGTGCTTGCCTAGTTTACTAAATTTTGTTGAACTCAATAAATTTACTGTGGGAACAACAGCTGGTGTAATGGCTATGTTGCTGGACTACCATGTAGTCGACCGCAGTTTGAGTCCCGGACCCGGTGGTTTAAACTCACGCCAGGTGTGTGAGCGTGCATGCCCAAGATCCCAAGAGGAGAATGGAGGAGAAGAGATTGCGACATGGCCGTCCCCCCCAAAGGGTTATTTCTCACTTTCTGTCTCTCTGTCTTTCTGGAGAGTGCACATGCTCTATAGCTAAAACCTCTCCAAAAAAAAAAAAAAAATTTACTGAAATTTATTCCACTTACTGGGTTATAACTCATTATATATTATATATTTAAGCACTCAAGTTAAACAAAGGTCATAGCTTCCAGTTGACCTCTGTATCCTTCAGAGACATGTCCCTATACATACACATGCACACACACATTTTTTTTTTTTTTTAGGTTTTTTAGAGTACATGCCCCTAAGTCAGTCCTGGGATCAGCTATATCTCATTTCTTTTCTTGCTTTTCTTTTTTTTTTCCCTAAGAATTATTTTATTCTGGGGCCAGCAGGTGGTGTGGTGGTTAAGGCGCTGGACTTCCACATGGCCAACCATGGTTCGAGTCCCAGACCTGGTGGCTTGCTCGCTCTTGCTCTCTCTCTCTCTCTCTGTCACTCTCTGGTCAAATAAAAATAAGTAAATGAATAAAGTTAAACAAAATAACTCTTAAAAAAAAAAAAAAGAATTATTTTATTCTTTCTCTCTCAATTTGACCAGAGAGGGACAGAGCAAGTGAGCGAGAGAGAAAGAGAGAGAGAAAGCAACCCACCAGGTCTGGGACTCAAACCACGGTTGGCCATGTGGGAGTCTAGCACCTTTAAACCACCACATCACCTGCCGGCCCCCATTTCATTCCTTTTTATGTAAAAGGTATTTAGAAAACAAGACTTGGGTGTGTTCACTGAAGCTGAGGCACTGTTGTTCTCGGGACCTCTCTATGAAAAGCGCTAGGAAAGGCCCAGCAGGTGGCATGGTGGTTAATGTGCTGGACTCCCACATGGGTGATCAGGGTTCAAGTCCCAAACCTGGTGGGTTGCTTTCTTACTCTCTCTTGTTCTTCAGTCAAATTAAAAAATAGTAATAAATGAGGGACCAGCAGTTAGAGTAATAGCTATGTTGCTGGACTCCCATGTAGTTGACCGCGGTTCAAGTCCCGGACCCAGTTGCTTAAACACATATCAAGCGCTTGTGCATGTGTGCCCAAGATCCCAAGAGGAGAATGGAGGAGGAGGGATTGTGGTGTGGCCATCCCCCCTGGGGGGTGATTTCTCACTTTCTGTCTCTGTCTTTCTGGTGAGCGCATGAGCCCTATAGCAAAAACCTCTCAAAAAAAGAAAAAAAGTAATAAATGAAATGAAATAAATAATTATTTTAAAAAAGAGCCGAGGAATATATGTATACTATATACCTACATACGTATACCCCAAATATTTATGCCCTGTCTGTGTTTACACACACACAATGTACTTCGAGATTTATTTCTGCACCCACACATGCAGCCTGAGCTCACTGCTGCTCTAACTGTGGGCCAATACCAGAGCTCACTGTGTCTTGCTCTTCTACATTTGTAACTCCCTTCTTGGACAGTGAGAAACTTGTCTCCAAGTTTTCTTAAGTTTATTCATTTGACCATCCCAATCAGCCTCCGTTTCTGCTGCCAGCCATCTTCCATGCCACTGCTCACTCTTCTGGTTTGGCTCTGACTGCCCATTCTGAGTCGCCTTGCATGGACCCTCCAGCCCTCGTTGGCACTAACGCACACAGACATGCCATTACCCTACCTGGGTTCTACTGACACGACAGGCCAGCTCCCTGCATGGACACCCTCTTCATCTACTCTGTCAGCCCTCTGGGATGGACACCCTTCTCACAAGCCTTGGGCTTGGAGGCTCTCACACTAGCCACTATGGCGCCCCACTTCTACCCCCAACACAGCTGTGGATGCCTACCCACGCTGCTCTGCCTCACCTAATGGGCTTAGTACTAGACTGTTAGGGAAAAAAAAAAAACAGAAAAAGGAGAGAATGATTTTTTAATAAACATGTAGCTTCTTTGAAATTTCCTTTTCTTTTTCTTAAGAGATGTTTTTGCTATAGGGTGTGTGTGTTTGCCAGAGACACAAAGAGAAAGAAAGAAACCACACCCTCTGGGGGATGACCATGCTGCAATCCCCTCACCTCCATTTCCTTAGGATTTGGGGCATACACACACATACACACACACACACACACACACACACTTACTTGGCTTGAATTTTGAGCCATTGCATCTAGGGTTTGAACCATGGTCGCCCATGTGGGAGTCCAGTGCCTTAACCACTATGCCATCTGCTGGCTCTTGAATTTTTTAATAGCTTCCTATCACACATAAAATAAAATCCAAACAGAATATCCTGGGACTTTTAAAGAAAGCCCTGTATGATGTGGTCCTTGTCTGTCTCCCAAACCTCACTCTACCATTCCCTCGCTTCAGGCATATGGCCTTCTACTGCTCCCTGTAACACAGCAAGCTCATTTCAACCTTGGGGCTGTTGTGTCCTAGCTGGTCCCTCTGTTTGAAATGTTCTTACCCTGATCTGCACATCCTAGTTCAAACATGTCCTGGTCACTCTTTTTTTTAAAAGAGAGATTTTTGCTATCGAGTGCATATACTCACTGAAGAGACAGGAGGTGAGAAATCACTCCCCGGGGGGATGGCCATGCCACAATCCCTTCTCCTCCAGTCTCCTCTTGGGATCTTGGGTGCACGCACACACATGCCTGGCATGAGTTTTAAGCTGCCAGGTCCAGGACTTGAATCGCAGTAGACAATATGGGAGTTCAGCGATGTAACCGTTATGCCATCTGCTGGTCCCTATCCTGGTCACTCTTAAGTAGTCCTGTTATAGTAGTTACCATTACCTGCTATTTTGTTTACTTATTTGTCTCTGTCTATTAAAATCTGCATAAGGACCATAATAAGCCTTGGCTTCTACTTATTTGTTGCTGTATTTTTAGCCTTTGAGTGAATGCAATTGTGAAAATGTAAGGTTCTACTAAAGCTCTCTCTTCTGAGGCAAATGAAGACCGAGTGGCCCCTGTGTACTTTTCGTCAGGACAACACTGAACGCTGTCTGTGTCCTTGAACACACTGCAGCTCTGCTCACATGCAGCCCACCCCTCTCAAGGCCTCTCCTTTCCTACTGAGTGACTGTCAGGGGCCGTTCCGGTACCTGTGTCAGAGCTTGGATGCTCGTGTTGATGTCACCACTGGCTACTTGGGAGATGATGAAGTTGATTGTGGATGCGGTATTACTGTGCATGTCATCGAAGTGCGGAGAGACAGCCCGGACCCTAGACAGCAGAGCAAAGGGCAAGTTCAATCGCCATCGCATGACATCCTGGGAAGGCGGCTCCCCACCGGATCCAGGGCTTCATGAGAAATGATGACAGGTCGGACGATCATCAGTGCTCCATAGTTTTAACTTAACATAGTTTTAACTGCACGTTACCACAGAGGGCCCTTTCTACATGTGCATGCTTATGAGCAACTGCGATTTAAGTGAAAGAGTTTAACTTACTTGGGTTCAGGAATAAGAACTGGTTCGAAAATGTCATCCAGTTTGTGCTGGACCAGTTCTGGCATCTCACATCGGACTGTACCATTGTCATTCTCAATCTCATCTAGATCCAGCTGGAATTCTCGGCGAACCATCTGGGCTGCCTCGGGATGCCCGCTCATGCTTCGGGCTTGGCTGAAGGAAGCAAAAGGAGGCTCCTGAACTAAGAGACTTCTAAGCCAGAGCGCACTGTCAGTTGCCCCAAAGCTTCAAGACAGATGTTCAACTTCTGGTTTCAGCCCCCCTCGAATGATTTAAGTCCTTGGGTCTAAGCAAGTGCCTTCAATGGGCAGCAGCACTGGTAATCAGTATCCTAAGAAAGCAGAGAACTTTAACTTTCACTTACATCCCTGCCAAGTTACAGGTACTCTTTAGTTCACTAAAGCCAAGAAACCTTGCACTTCTGTTCCAGATGGGACAGAAAGGAATAGAGTACTTGCACTGACCCAAAGGTTACTACTTTTGGCCAACGATATAAGAAAAATCTAGACTGGCAGGTCTTTTCTACTGAATTAACCAGTGTTTAAATATTTTTCATCATAGACACCATTCCATGCAATATTCAGTACATTTTGTACTTTGAGGGACAGCGAGTCGCCTCTTTTTAGGAATATTTACTCTTAACAGGTCAAGGCTAGCAGTGTATTTAAGAAATAGGTATTCAAAGTTTCCAAATTCAAATCGGTTAAAATTATACTCGTGACACAACCCAAAATAGAGCCATCTTGCTTGGAAGGCAGAACTTTGAGTCCCTAAGACATTTCTGGGTTGCATGCATTATATTTAGCCCTATATCAAGAATAGGAACTCAAGCACAACTAAATATAACACAGGAAGAGTTCAAGAATCCAACTTTAGCCACACGATGCTGAGCTGCCATTTCTGTCTGTCACTGGACTTCTGTGGCAGGTGTGACCGATGGGATAGTTATGGACCCCTCTACCCTGTTACAAACTCTAAGCCCGTTACCCTCAGAGGGGATGAATCCAAGTCAGAAGTTAGCAAGATAGAAGAGCCCTGCTAATGAGGAGTTAGCAGGCAGTACTTACATCCTATAAGTGCGATACATAATTCTGTCCACGGAAAAGCAGTGAAAGAAGGCACAAGACCATTTAGAAGTGGTTTTGAGACAAAGACAATGAAGACATTTAGTTACAAGACATTTACCCAGACGCTCTGTCATGCATGATCATGGCTACGAGAATGCAAGATTATGTTACGGGACAAGCTCTGAGCACATGGGCCAAGTCCACAGAAACGCTCTCAGACAGCCACGTCTGCCTACATACTTGAGTTTGGAGGACATGTCCTCAGCGGGTCCCTTGCGCAGCATGTTGGCGTTGGCGCTTATGCTCTGTGTGCGCTGGGGTTTCTCTTCCACCTGTTTCATGGGTGCAGCAGAAGGCCTCTTCGCTGACCGCTTGATCCTCTCCTCGAGCATGCTCATATCCTTTTCAGAAAGCTGTGGAGGAGGCCGAACTGATCAGTTCATGTGTCTACTAAAGTGTGAGGAGAAATTAAAAAGCTTAACTAGAGGGATCAGCAGATGGCATAACAGTTATGTTGTTGGACTCCCACATAGTCGACCACAGTTCAAGTCCCAGACCTGGGCAGCTTAAAACTGACACCAGGCGCGTGTGCGTGCATGCCCAAAATCCCAAGAGGAGAGAACAGAGGAAGAGGGATTGTGGCATGACCATCCCTTTCGGGGGGAGATTTTTTGCTTTCTGTCTGTTTCTGTTTCTCCAGTGAGCACACATGCCCTAAAGCAAAAACTCTACAGAAAAGTAGAAAAAGCCTAACTAAAGGACTCAAGAATTAACATCTATTCTTAAAACTCTTGCCAGGCACGTGTGCGTGCATGCCCAAGATCCCGAGAGGAGAATGGAGGAGAAGGGATTGCGGCGTGACCATCCCTCCCTGGGGGGTGATTTCTCACTTTCTGTCTCTCTGTCTGTCTCTGTCTGTCTAGCGAGCACACGCGCCCTAGAGCAAAAACCTCTCCAAAAAAGAAAAAAAAAGAATTAACATCTATTTTCGTAAACAAAGCAAACAGAACCTAGCATGTTAGGACAAGTTTACTTGCAAAATACTTCATTTAAAAAAAATCAATATTGGGGCCAGCAGATGGCGTGGTGGCTTGCTTTCTCACTCTTCCCACGACCCCATGAGCACATAAGCCCTATGGGAAACTTAAAAAAAATTATAATAAATTAAATCAAAATTTTATTTGTTTAGAGCAATTTTTGCTATCAGGTATGTGAGCTCACTGGACAGACAGAAAGCAATAAATCACCCCCCAGGGGGATGGCCACACTGCAATTCCTTCTTCTCCATTCTCCTCTCAGGATTTTGGGCATATACACACACATGCCCGGTGTGAGTTTTAAGCCACTGGGTCTGGGACTCGAACTGCGGTCAACTATGTGGGAGTCCAGCAACATAACCACTATGCCATCTGCTGGTCCCTAAAATAAATAATTAAAAAAAGAAAATCAACTACTGGGACCAGCAGGTGGCATGGTCTCTCTCTCTCTCTCCCTGGGGGGTACCTTCTCACTTTCCCTCTCTCTGTCTTACTCCTTTGAGCGCATGTGCCCTATGGCAAAAACCTAAAACAATAGAAATAAAGATGAAACTACTATTAATTCCTACCTAGTTATAACTACAAGAGGACATATAAAAGAAGGAAAGGATTGGGGTGGTGTGGTGGTTAAGGTACTGGACACTCCCACATGGCCAACCACGATTCATGTCCTGGACCTGGCGGCTTGTGTTCTCACTTTTCCCTTTGTGTCTATCTCTGGTCAAATTGAAAGAAAACATGATTTCCAGTAAATCATAGCCCAAATGTCCTATAGGAATCAGACACCGCTCCTGGACCTATCTGGATCCTAGGACACATTGATAACCTGAGAGACTAAGTGAAATGTTTTAGCTACAGTTGAGATGGCAGGATGCACAACACTTAAGAGATCTTGCCACTTTCTTTTTTTTTCCTTTTTTTTAAAGAGATTTTTGCTATAGAGCATGTGTTCTCACTGGACAGAAAATGAGAAATCACCCCTGGTGGGGATGGCCACCTCACAATTGCTTCTCTTTCAAGCTCCTCTCGGGATTTTGGGCATGAATGCACACACACTCAGTGTGAGTTTTATGCCACCTGGTCTGAGACTCGACCCATGGTCGGCCACGTGGGAGTCCAGCAACATAACCACTATACCATCTGCTGGTACCCCCATTTTCTTCACATCATACTAGCACTGCTCAAACAAAAGTCACTCACATTTCCGATCAGTTTGAACACCTGATCCCCATATACGTTATACACCGTTACGATGGTGTTGAGTGCAGCGTTGCGAACAGCGTTGTCACGGTCTCCGATATGAATAGCTATCTCCTTTAAGGCTTTTCCTGGGGTTGGTTGGCAAACATTCATGCCATAGGACTCGACCAGGCACCCCAGCTCTTCCAGGCACTCTGACGGGGGAGAATGGCTAGATTAACAAGAGGCAACATGCAATGGCCACGAGACCTGTCCTTACTATAACATACATTTCCCCTGGCACACGAAAGACTAAGACAATGGTGTCTCAGCAGTAGGTACTCCTGAAGAGGGATGCCTGTGAGTCAGATGGCCCCTGTGCACTTGATTTTGTCACCAGGGTGGTACTGAGTGGTGCTGGTATCACCTGACACCGTTGCCCCACCAGTGTGCAACTCATCACTCTCACAGTATAGACCAGGAGGCTGGCGTCAGCTCTGTGGACACTGAAGAAATTCCCCTGTTCACTTATAAGCTACTACTTCTAGGGGCTGCTGAGACTCGGGTCTGTTTGCTTCACCTGCTCTCTGCTTAGAGTTTTTAGATTTGGTTCCTTCCATGATGAAGGGGAACATCTTGCTGGATGGGTAGACAAGGCACATCCGGTTCAGGATGGCACGGACATCTTTACGAATGACATCCTTTGGTTCTCCAACCTAGTCAACAAGGAAAACATTGATTAGGTGAGGCATTTTCTGAGTAGCAGTGGTTCCCCTGTGTGTTACTATACCTCAAGAGATCGGGGACGTGGTGATGAGTAGTGAAGGGTAGCGTCACATGATAAGTGAAAAAGGAAGAGAGAATAAGTGTATAGGAACTAAGACCAGCCGGGAACTTAGCTGCTTCCCAGATGAGGACACCATTTTACCTTAAGGATGAGATAGGGGATGAAGGAAGATGCTTCATTCTCAGTAAGATGATACTCCTCTTCTGTCAGCAGGGTGAAGAGCAATTTTAAATATTCTAGTGCTTTCATTAGGACACTTGTATTGGTGTCAAAAAATCGCAAGGTAAGCCACTTTAAGATGAGATCCAGGCAACCAATGACACCTTCTTTTTCACTTTCCAAGTGCTTAAAATAAAACAAAACAAAATTCTCACAAATGAAACTGTAAAAAGCTTACAATCTAGCAAAGAAGTACCTCTAAAATTTGACTGAAAACTAAAAGATGAAATGACATATTTTTTAAAGAATTATTTGATTTAACTTTATATTATTTATTTTTATTTGACCAGAGATGGACAGAATGAGAGAGAGAAAGTGAGAAAGCAGGCAGCTAGGTCTGGAACTCGAACTGTGGTCGGCCATGTGGGAATCTAGCGCCCTTAACCACCACACCACCTGCAGGCCCCAAAAACAACATTTTTTAAGCCTCCAATTAAGATCTAAACAACACACACAGTCGTTTATTTTTTCAAGTAAGAAAGCTTTAAGAACAAACAATATGTTACATTCCACTTCCTCCTCCAGTCATGCAAACTACCGATTATTTCCCAGGGCTCCGTATATTCAAGTGCCCGAGACAGCGGAGTGTTCACCCACTGCAGACTTACATCAACCATGACAGCCAGGGCTTTGTTATGATGCTGAAAGTCTGAGTGAAACATCTCATCCTGTAGCCATTTAGCCACACAGCTAGACATCTGAGTCTTTAGCTGTTCAATGTATTCATCTCGTGGGGTTGTAAAATTCCACTTCAGCACCTGAAAAAAAAAAAGTGAAAAGGGGTTATTAGGTGTTCAACTGAAGTGAGGTGGAGAACCTTAGGTAATGCTACTGCATCTAATTAGATATGTTCTCTCTCTCTCTCTCTCTCTTTTTTTTTTTTTTAGATTTTTGCCATAAGGTATGTAGGCTCACCAGACAGGGACGGGGAGAAAGGGAAAGTGAAAAATCATGCCTGAGGGGGATGGCATGCCACAATCCCTTCTCCATTCTCTCCTTGGGATTTTGGGCAGGCATGTACATGTGCCCAGTGTGTTTCAAGTCACCAGGTCCAGGACTTAAACCTTGGTCAGAATATGTGGAATTCCAGCCACATAACCATTATTCCATCTGCTGGCCCAAAAAAACAAAATTTAGATGAAATGGACAGATCTCTGGACACATATAACTTACCAAGATTGAAGTAGGAAGAAATGGAAAGTGTGAGTAGACCAGTAACAAGCAATGAGGTTGAATCAGTAATAAATAAGATTCCCAATGAGGAAGAGCCAGGTCCTGATGGCTTTACTTCTGAATTCTAAGAAACTTTTAAAGAACTTACCCCAATGCTCTTCGAACTATTTCTAAAGATTCAATAGGAAGAAAGCTTCCCCTAAATTCATTCTATAAAGTTCCATCATCTTCATTCCAAAGCCACACAAGGTCCTGACAAAAGAAAACTCCAGGCCAATATCCCTGATAAATATGGATGCAAAAATTCTCAAAGAGATACTAGCAAATTGTATTCAACAACGTATTAAAAAGATTATACACTACGACCAAGTAGGCTTTATTCCAGGGATGTAGGGATGGTTCAGCGTATACAAAACAATAAATGTAATAAAACATCACATTAACAAGAGGAAGATAAAAATCATATGATCATATCAACTGATGCAGACAAAGTATTTGATAAAATACAACAATCCTTCATCATTAAGACTCTCACAAAATTGGCACAGAAGGGACATTCCTTAAAACAATAAAAGCCATCTATGAAAAATTCATAGCTAACATCATGCTGTCAACTAAAAACTTGAAGACAAGAGCTGCCCACTTCCTCCACTCCTTTTTTAACATAGTACTGGAAGTTTTAGCCAGTGTGATTAGACAAGAGAGTCAAATAAAAGGCATCCAGATAGGAAAAGATGTGAAATGATCTCTATTTCCAGATGATAGGATATACGTAAAAATCCAAGAAGACTCCTCCTTCATGGCTCCTGACAACTAGTGATTTCAGGGAAGAAAGAGAAATGAAGATTTTCTACTGAGAATTCAGTCTCCAGTCCACAAACTCGAGTGGAGAGATAAGGGGCAGGCCTTCAAAAGAAGACTCCTCCATGGATCCTGAGAATTACTGATTTCAGAGAAAAAAGAGAAATAAAGATTTTCTACTGACAATTCAGCCTCAAGCCTTTGAGTGGTATGGAGCCCTCTAGCCTTCTCTCTGTCTCTGTCTTCTCATTTTTTTTTACTTTTTATTTAAAAAAATCACTGTGAGGTCACAAAAAATATGGGAAAGCAAGACAATACCTCTCCTCCAAGGGAAAATAACTCCTCTTCATACAGACAGTTCAATGGAAATCATGGAAATGTCTGATAAATACTTAAGAATATAAATAATGATGAACCTAACAGAGATGCAAGAGAAGAGAGACAGTGCACTGTAAGCTATTTTCTTGGCTTTCAGCCCTGCCTTTTATCTTGCTAATGATCCCCTTCCCCATTCCCACCCAGGAGAGGCAAGGGGCAGGCCTTCAGAAGAAGACTCCTCCATGGCACCCGAGAACTAGTGGCTACATGGTTTTCTATTTTTTAATTTTTTTTTTTTAAATAATTTTTTGGGGGTTGTTCATTTTTTCCTTTCTTTTTCTCTATTTCTTTGTTGTTTTCTCTCTCTCTGTTTCCTTTTCTTTTATCTCATCACTCTGCTCCTCAGTCTCCATTCGCTGTTTCTGGATGGATTGAAGGGAATCATAGCCAAACATCCAAATACTACTAGGGTTAATCTATTCCTCAATACCCACTAAATATGCCGCACAAAGGGATAAAAATAGAATGGCAAAGAGATTTCAGATCACCTCCTTCTGCACGCTCACTAATGCTCAGACTGAACTTCTGAAATGAGGAAGAAACACACCATCCATCAGATGAGTAGAAATCACCGCAGGGCCACAAGAAATACGGGAAAGCAAGAACATACCTCTCCTCCAAGGGAAAAGAATAGCTCCTCTTCATCCACAGACAGTTCAATGGAAATCATGGAAATGTCTGATAAAGAATTTAGGATATTCATAATGATGAAGCTAACAGAGATGGAAGAGAAGAGAGACCATGAACTGAGGAAGAGGCAGAAGAAAGGAGCTGATGAGTTCCAGGAGGTGAGGAAATTCTCGCAAGATCTAAAAAAGGAATTACACACTTTTAAAAAGAATGAAACGAACCTGTTAGAGATGAAGGCTATAATACAGGAAGTCAAAATCTCCCTTGAAAGTATTAAAAACAAACTGGATCATACAGAAAATAGATCTCAGATGTAGAAGAGAAAATTGCTGGCCTAGAAAAACCCACCATGAAGACTGAGAAAATTGCCAAAAAA